TATATATATATATATATATATATATAATAATCATTCATATATATATATATATATATATATATATATATATATATATATATATATATAATTATTACGTTTATATATGTATATGATTATACTTCAATTTTTATTAAAAAGAACAAAACGTGATTTAATTATTTTTTAATACTTTTTATTATTTTTCCTGTATATACGAAGAGATACAGCAAAAAGAGAACAAATATATGAACATATTTATATATAATTAATAAGTAATATAATATAATATTAATAATATATATATATACAAGGTGGACCATTTTAATCTATCCAGTCGAATATCTCGAAAACCAACCCCGGGAGAGAAAAATATTTCAGACAAAAGTTGTTCGGTTCGAAGGGGGACATAAGATGGTGTCATTGGTTTGACCATGGATGGTCGTTTAAAGCTCACGTGAACGACATCTTTAATTTCTTAAATGGAAACCCCTATTTTTCAATGCATATTCTTGTAGCTAATCTCGAGAGCTTTTCAAAACACTATAATAAAGTATTTTTTTATTAAGAACTTTATATATATTTAGTATATACATATATATATGTTTTTATACAAAAAAATTTTTACTGGGCCAAGGAACATCATAAGATAATAATTCGTCAAAGTATAAAGCTTGGTAAAATATTAACAAACTTTGATATAATTTTAATATCATAAATATTTTTATTATTTCTTATATAAATATAAAGAGTTCGTACAAATATTAATATTACGAATAATTAGGTGTAATTATAAATATTCAATATTGTCTAGCAAAGGATTATATGAGGCAAAGCGAATAATGCATTGATTTCAAATATTCGTACATACTCTCTGTGAATTCAAATTGCAGCACACAACTAGAGTGAAAATCTGCATGAAAACAAAGCTTCTTTTTAATATAAAAAAATGTCGTGTGCAATTAACATTTTGCTACAGAAATCTCATTTTAGCAATGCATTCAAAAAACAAAAAATAAATATAAAAACAAGAAATATAAAAAATAAGAAATAAAAATAAAAGATAAAAATGTGTTTCAAAAATAAAGTATTTGCGACGATAGATTAATACTATTAATAGCCCACGAAACCGACAGAGATCTCTCGTGACAAAACGGTTTTAGACCTACATTATGACATTTATCAAGTTATACTGATTAAAAAAACAAGAACTATCGGATCAAATAATCACGATCGTATTGAGTTTTGCTTTTTAGCGCTTCTCCTTCGATTTGTTACGCTAATTCGTGGCATTTCCAGGTGGAAACGGAGATACAGAAAAGTATGCTCAGAGATAGAAAAAAGTCAATGTTCCGGACAAAATCCGGAATTCCCTGTATAAATTCGTATGTTAATTTTGTCGTCTAGCATTTATTATGCGTTACGCAAAAGAGATGGAGACGCGCCCGATCCTACCAAGGTCGCTATGAACATGACTCTTCCTTCACGTCTCCTTCACGAACGAAAAGACGAAGGAACGAACGAACTCGCTTACACTCTCTCTCTCTCTCTCTCTCACACACACACACACACACACACACACACACACACACACGCACGCACGCACGCACGCACGCACACTTGGTTGCAGACTTTCACCATTTCTAAATCTATATCTAAAAAATTGTTGTTTTCGTTCCAGTCAACATTTAAATTTAAAATGAAAACTATTATGACAGAGAAGCAAAATATGAAAGAATTCGCCTATTTTATTATGGATTCTGGTCCATAAACGCACATACTTGACTTTTATGCATTTCTAGAGGAAGTTGGGAAATTCTAGGGGAAAGATACTTTGGTGAGGGGTGAATTTCGTATATTATTATATCTAATATTATAAGCTATAATTGGCACTAAAAACTTTACACTATAAATTAACTTAAATATTATATTATCACTAATTTTATATAAAATAATTTGTATTTTATAATATCGTCCAGACTTTCCCAGGGTATCTTCTCATGATGACGGCGGTATTAACGAACAAACTTATTTGTTTGTTCAATAGCGGGATTCTGTAACTCGAATCCTTAATGACAGTTTCGGTATCGTTGCGCAGGTATTTATATGGTAAAAAAGCTGCGCAACAATACCGAAACTGTCGTTAAGAAGTTATACATACAGAATTCCGCCTCTGCTAAGTCTCTGATACAATCAAAGCACGTAAATAAAACAAAATATCAAGTTTTAGCGGAACGAAATGACAAAAGATTTATAAAAACGTATTATTGCATTTGCAAAAATGGGACTTGTGCTATATTGAATATTGTGCCTATATCATGACATTGATGTGGTATTTAGGTCACGGCAAACATTCAAATGCAAGAATCAAGTCATTAGAGTATATTGCAGATATTTTTATATCATTTTCTGACAGTTTTGCCGCTGAAGGTAATAATGAATAGGTATTAAGACTGGTAATTGAAGCGATCATAACTTCTTCCACCCACCGTCTCAGAACCTAAAATTATTTTTCTAGTAAAGTACATAACAAATATCTACAAAATGATATGTATGTTTCAATACTACTATGCGCCAATATGGCCCATTTTGGGCGAAGTTCTTTAATGATTTGGCACTTGTATACACACAGAAAAATATAAACTACCTGCAAGTTAATATTACTTGATTCAAGTATTTGATAAGTTCATATATGAGCAAATCTACCATAAAGTCGTCATAAGTATCACATTTACTCAAAACATATTCTAGATCTTAGCAAGTTTAGTACTTGAAACAAGAATATTAAATTGATACAAACATTTTGTTTACTTACAATATAGAGTCCACGGAAGAGAAGCATATACTTCAATAAAGATATTACATTTTCTTGAGAGAAGTTTATCCGTTATTTGAATCAAGTAAAAATTTTATTCATCTAAAATAATCGTTTACTTCAAAAAAGAATTTGTATTCTTGATGATTACAATTAATATTATATTTTTTTTTTAATTTTTTTTAATTCTTTAGTTCCTAAGTGGAATGTAGGTTAGGAGGTTTTTGTGCGCGGTGCGGAGGGGTAGTACTTACAGTTTAGAATATAAAAATTTCTGTCTTCAGGTGGACTTGAACCCGGTTCCTCGTGGTTATGAGTCTGACACTTTATCACTAGGCCACATCTCTGATTATATTCTTAGTGTTGCAGTATCTAGTTTTCACAGAAGTAATTTATTAAATTCAAGTATTTCATAATCTTACCTAAAGAATCAGTAAATATTCAAATCAAGCTTATGTGGCTTTTCTTAGATAAAGTTTACAGAATATACTTGAAATTAATGAATCACTTCTGTCAAAACTAGATACTGCAGCACTAAAAATATAATCAGAGATGTGGCCTAGTGATAAAGTATCAGACTCATAACCACGAGGAACCGGGTTCAAGTCCACCTGATGACAGGAATTTCAATATTCTAAACTGTACCCCTCCGGACCGCGCACGAAAACCTCCTAACCTAGAAGAATGTCGTTCTACAGCCAAGTATTTCATATTCTTACCTAAAAAATCGGTAAATATTCAAATCAAGCTTATGTTGCTTTTCTTAGATAAAGTTTCGGAATATACTTGAAAGAAGAATAAATTCTTCTTTTAAGCACATGATGATAAGCTTTTCTAATACTTATGATGAGTATATTAAGAAACTAATATTAAGAAAATATTCTTTGTTAAAGAAAACTGTTACTCAAACCAAATAAAATAAAATGAGTAATTGCTTTTCTTGGCTATAGAACAATATTTTTCTGTGTGTATAATGTTTTCTTCTTTTCGGTATGTTTTTTTGTTTCTCGATTGTATTAAAAAAGGTCTAAAAAATGTGAATTACATGAAATATATATATTATATGTAAATATAATATATATATATATATATTATATATATATGTAAAATATACAAACAGGCTATGTTAAAAGATTCTTGTTTTTAAAAAATATCTAAGTATGTATAACAAACTCCTTTCTCGAAGGATCATCCCGAAGATTTGTGTCTTGATCGATCGTCAATAATACGAACGAAGTACTATACTGATCATTTGAAACTAACTCACTTTCCCATCATTGCATTTGTATAACGTAAAGATATAAATCTCCAAAGAAACGCAACACCGATAGATCTTAAAAATTAATGAGCAATTAAGCTCGAATGGACATAAGGAGATTGACGGCGATCTGCTCGACGGCACTCGGAATTCCTGTCGAGTCACTGGACTGGGTTCAATGTCAGCGCATAGGGAAACGAGTCGATCAATTCGGGGAATCTTTCGCGACAGGCGAGAATATCCCGAGAGAGATGTACTCAGGTGGAGAACGTGGACACGTGAAGTGTAACGTAGATTTTTTGGTAGAAGCTTCCCGTGGTAGGGGCGGCGGAGTCCGATCTCGTCGTATAAAAGTCTTTGGATCCACTGCTTCGAGAAGAGTCGCTCTTCGTTCGAAAACGTGATCTCAATAAGGTACGTACGCAGTTGTATGACCGTATCTATATATCAGAATAATAGGAGATATATAAGAAGCTAAAACCGAACATGTTCGACTTTTCGGGAGATTGCTTGTTGTTGTCAAGTTAAAAAAGTATCCCAGCATGTTAAATTTGTTAATAAATGTGATTGCGAATTTTTATCTGGAAATGAAATATATATGATATAAGATCTTCGAAGTGCCCTATCATGTCACAATTTTAAAAAGTTTAAAATTACAAAAATATTTTAACACATTTTACCATAACACAAATACGAGATGCGATATATATAGAAAGTTTTGTTTCGTTTAAAATTGTCAAAATTTTTAAAAGTTCCAAAAAAATTTATTAATATTTTTGTAATTAAATATTGGATTGTAAGTTAAACCAGAGAATTTATATTTACAATCAACATTTTTAATTCAATCGTTTATAAAAACTTAAGAATGTTTTAAGTCGCTGAATATATATCTAACGTTAAAATTAATTCAGAATAACATATGAAATTCATATAATAAATCAAAATTTTAAAAATGTCGAATTTTTCGCATAAATTTACAATATATGGTTATGGAGTTTTTCAAATTAATGATGTAAAAATTGACGAATACACAATTGCTAAATGTATAAAATAAATCCAGTATTCGCTGAATTATCCGTAGTCCTTAATATAAACAACAAACTTGATTCGCATTTAAACACACTCAATATCTCTTCTGAAAAAATAATCTTTAGCTATTAAATCGCTTTAAATCATTTTATCTTTTTAACAATCATTTGTGTCTCCTTTCAGATGGCGATGAGGTGCATTGTAGTGCTGGTCGCCGTGTGGGCTGTAATCTACGCTCAAGCAGAGTCCGAACCCGTTGGCCAGGATCCGCAGCAGACGTTGGTGGCACCTACAGCATCATCGGAAATCGCGCCGCTGAAATCGGAAACGGTGTCGGGCGAGGTGACCGAGATACAGTCGCGTAACAAAAGAGCGCCGATCCTTCTGAAAAAGGCTCTTTTGGGTGGTGCTCTTCTCGGTGCCGGAGCCTTGGGTGCTGGAGCTCTGGGTGCCGGAGTTCTCGGCGCTGGAGTTCTCGGTGCTGGATTGTACAAGGCTAAATAGTAAGTTGATTCTGAAGAGAGGAAATATTGGAAGGAAAAGAACGGTTTTGCTGGAGTACCTAAAAATTTAGCTAGGTACAGAGAAAATAATTTTGTTGGACCGTAAAAATAATTATGTAGGACACTCAAGCCAGTTGTTAGAATATTAAAACTTTTTGCAGCATTATTATCTTACATAATTATTTTGATGGTCCAACTTATAGCTAAGTTTTTAGATACTTTAGTAAGACCGTTCTTTCCGTGAAAGAAGGACAAGAAATTGGATTTCAAGTTTTAGATTTGCAAACTAATGCAAATTAAGACGTGTCAAGTATAACAAGTATTGCTAAAATTCCTGCTTCATATATAGCTGCAGCCACATTAAATTGTGACATCAAAAGCGAGGAGTTGGGCGAGTCTTGTTCTTTTTTCTCGAAATAGATTGACTGTTTTGCATATCGCCACACGCGTTTGATGATATAAATTAATGAAATGTACCAAAGATCTCTTTTTTTCGACTCGCGGATTAATGGCAGCTGAAATGCTTCATCGATTATCTCATATATTATGCCAAATCTGTCGAGAACAAATTCGACAAAACATCTGTTACAATTTTGGTCGGCAGAATGTCAACAGAAATGTGATAGAAATCTGCGGAATATGACTGAGAAAAGCAGAATTTGCCATTTTGTAACCATTGCATCATTTAAATGATATATTCCATTCCGCTCGGTATCTACTTATTGTTAATTAATACGATCATAGTTTATGCAATCTGCCGCGATATTCTGCTCGAATTTGTTGGCAAACTGCTAGAATTTTAAACTTACTGTTAGGATCTCGACATGAAGTTTTCGTTGGAAATATAGGACACATTCAAATTGATCAATTATATGTATATGTATATATTCTTTAAAACAGAAAAGTAAAAAGTCTTCAAACACACACATACACACATAGACGCGCGCGCACAAAATGTATTTTATTAATTTATCAATTTATGCTATCGAGCGCGAATATTATGGCGTACAGGAAATTAATTGAAATTAAGGTAATTATTTACAATAGGGCCTTTTCCAAATTTTGATATTATCTTACGGCTCTCTTGGTAAAAACCTTTGCTGTGACTCTGACAGTGATAATCAATCGGGGGAGCCCAAAAAATATGCACCCTACCTATTTTTTAATTTATTTTTTTTTAAGTATTGTTCAATTTTCCACGCAAACGTTTAATTTTCTTTGGTATTTATGCATAGAAGGGGCCCTCTCTCCGATTTAGTTTATTTTTAAATATGTTGGGGGAGTCTTCCCGAATCATTTCATACATACATATATATATATATATATATATATATATATAAGGGACTCAAATAGCTTCGGAGATATACACACACACGCGCGCGCGCGCGCGCGCGGGGTGCAAGGGGAAGTCTTCGGCCCCCCTCCCGTACCCACCTCCGCTGGTAGGCAGCGTGGACTTCGCTTTACAACTTAACATGTTAAAGGCTGCGGTCCGAATTCACGCTCACAGCGTTGTAAAGAGCGATGCTTTCAGCGCTGTGAGCGTGAATCGGACCGCACTCTTACCTTAGCATTGCTTAGCATGTACTTTAAGTTGCAAAGCAACGTCCACGCTGCCTATCGGCGGAGGTGGGTGCGGGAGGGGCGGCCAAAGGCTCCCCTTGCATCTCCCCCCCCCGCGTGTGTGTGTGTGTGTGTGTGTTCAAACATGTCGGAAAAAATAGGTTTAAAAATAGGTTAAAAATAAATTGGTAAAAAAATTGGTAGGGTACATATTTTTCGGGCTCCTCCGATTGATTATCATTGTCGGAGTTACAACAAAAATTTTTACCACGAGAGCCGCAAGAAAATATTAAAATTCGGAAAAGGCCCTATTGTAAATAATTACCGAAATTAATAAGTATAGTTTATTTTTACGTAAGTATGTACATGAGTAGAAAATAGTTATTTGTGTAACAAGTGCGAGAAGTTGAGAATTGGACACGAGTGCGGAGTGGACGCACGAGCCGAAGGCGAGTGCGATCACCCGCACTCGTGTCCAATTCTCAACCCGCACGGGTTCGAGTGGGAAATTTCTCGCGTGGGAAATTGGCTATTTGTCGCACAGATGGCGCGCGGAATGGGCCACTTTCCACGCACGTGTGATATAATAGTTATTTGTGTAACAAGTGCTGTAAGATGGAAGCCTTACACACCCTATTTTATGTTGCAAGTGCGTGGAAAGTGGTCTATCACGCACGCGTCGCGTGCGTAATGGGCCACTTTCCATGCACGTGTGACATAAAAAGAAGTACACGCGTTTCTCGCTCATTAAATTCGTAATATAATAATTTGTAAGAGTCTGCGTGTTCTTGTCGATTTAGTTTGCGACATCAACTTTCAGATATTCAGTTAATTATCCGTTTGCGCGAACTAAATTAACATCAATTAACGCATACAAAAATTTCACACATTTTTATTGTCAGAAAGATTCGTCGAAAGTCCATCATTGCTATTAATTCAATTTTCACGATGTTAATCGCCGCGGATTTCATAAGTTTGTCGAACCATAACGAATGTCCGCTGAAG